GGCTATTTCGTAAGTTAAAAATATTGTATTCTTAGTAATGCCACATCTTTGTAGTCGTTTGTAATAATAGAATAAACTTCCTGGAAGGTTTCTTTAGTTAATAGATTTATTGTTGAAGTGTTTCCTACAGCGTTTTTGGTGTGAATTAAAAAAAATTTTCAAATTTTAATGGTTTAAAATTACAGCTTATCTGGCGATATCACTATTGTTTACGGAGGTACAAGCTTTTTAAAGTTTGTCTATTTTTTTCGAAACGTTTAAAATTTTTCATAATACTATGAGTTTGTAAACCTTCGTAGAGATATATGGGGAGAATCACGTCAACTGTCCCAGCGCCGCGGTGGACGGCCCGCTCGGGCGTTAAACACGACGTCTTCAACTCGTCTTTTCGGTGTCAAAACTTTGATAAAAAAATTATCTTAAAACATATTCTTACTTATTTTTTCCTCAGCTTTCCATTGGTGGCATCAGTTTTTCGAAAATTTTCTCCCATAACCTCGAAAAATGCACTTGTTTGAAAAACACGTTTTATCTTAGTGCTTTGTGTACGTGATTAAAAAAATTTTAACGGACATACGGATGTTTAAAGTTTACACAGTTAAAAAGTTTTTGTAATTTACTTTATGATACAAGTTAAATGTCAGTATTACATGGATTCACTGAATCTCTTTACTTAAAACAATATTCATGAATACAGAAAATTAATGTTTCCTAATATATAGCATAGGACTGAATAACACAAGAGAATATTTGTATTTGTCCTGTTTTTTAAAATGGATTCGTTTCTCCAAAATCGAACAAATATTAAACAGTATAAGAGATCAAATGTGCTCTAGTCTTCTTAACTTTAATAAATATAGATGTTTATTAATAAACAAGTGCCATTGACTAAGTGGCACAGGAAGCTTGAGTCTTCTCAATATTATTAGTTAATGTTATATTATGATCGAGCATTATTAACTACGTGATTTGGTGCCCAGGAGTCTTCTCGTTTCAAAATATAATATTTTATAATATTTAATATGAATAATATTTTTATAGAGAAGCTAGCATCACTAACTAAGTAATCAAGTTCGCTAGAGGCTTTATGACTTTACTAAAAAAACAGTGTCATTTAATGAACAAGTGCTATTAACTTAATGATGATATCTTAAAACAAGCGACAATGTCAAATCATTTTTTAATTTATAAAAGTTTCACTTTTTGTTTTACGTTTACTAGCCCCTAGCAAACGCTTAGAAATAACTTTGACAGATGTAGTATCCTTTTGAAAAGTTCTTCATACTACTTGAACGAAGCAAAGCTATGTATTCACTATAAACTTTAAATTTAAGGCTATTGGAATAGCCAGAACCTCAAACACTTGTAGGTATCTACGTCAATAATAAAGGTATCGCGAAATACGCAATGAATTGAAATCAGCAACAATAACCTACTGGACAATCACTTATTTCACTACAAACGACTACAACGCCATTTACTAAAAATTCAAAATTTTCACACACGGAAATTCCCAAAACTTCTAACGCCCATATTTCCATAAAAATTCAGATAAAGCGAAGTAAGAAGCAGTTTTAAATCATACAACTTCTTGGAAAAAATTTCTTTTTTGCGTAAACTAGACCTTGGCCGTACATTAACAAATAATTTTTTCATCTCAATTTGTTTCCTAAAAAATTCCTTGTATGAATACATTGTACTACAAAGCCATGGCAGTATTTAAAATTTAAAATTTTCAGCGGAAGAAATAGCCAAAATTTCAAAAGCCTGTATCTCCGTAAATAATGAGATCATTACAAATTAAACAATAAATTCAAATTATTACGATTCTTGAAAAATTTATTTTTTGATTCACGTTTACCAAATTAATGCTGAGAAAATCTTTTAAACAACTAAAATAACATTCTAAAAATTCTTGTGTACAAACACAAACGACAGCAAAGTCAGGTCTTAACCAGAAATCTGAAACTTTTAGCTAAAGACTAAACTTTAAACGCTCGTAACTCTGTGAATAATAGAGATTTTGCTAAATAAGCATGTCGATGGAAATTTGACATGGCTCTAATAGGTATACAAGCAATATTGCTACATTTATTATCGTATCAATAGGCCATGCCGCTTCATACATTTTTTTTGCGGCATTAATGGATCTCGTATAAATAAGTTGAGTTTTATTAGTTAACAAGTTTCGGGCCAACAGCAATTTTTCACTGCTTTATGAAAAAAAAAAAATTTTTCCATAAGTATATATCTTTCAATAAGTAAGTGTTAACAATTTTTTTCGTTGGTGGTGCTTTTTAAAAATGTTGCACAGAGCGAATAAGCAGCGATTTCCAGTCATTAAAATTCATGAAAAAATTTTTTTTTTTTCATTTTACGTGTACAAGGCATTGGCCGTTAGTTTCTAAATCATTTTGATAACTTAATTTATTTTCTGACAGTCTTTAATAGTACTCTAAACGATAACAAAGCCATGGCAAAACTTGAAATACCAAATTATTGGCTCAATGAAAAACTTAATCTCTAAAAAAAAAAATATTGGAAAATTAACATAAAATTTCAATCATCAAAGTTTATGAAAATTTGTTTCTATGGTTTCAGTTTACTTGCCTGTAGCCAATGCTTAAAAAAAAGTCTTAAAGTTAAAAATAACTATTTTGACAGTTCCTTTTATCTCTACATAGGATAGAAAAGCCATGGATTGCCTGGTAATTAAAATTTACGGTTACAGAAATTTCCAATATTCTAAATGTCTGTATCTCTGTAAATAATGGAAATATCTCAAAAAAAGTGATCAATTGAAATAAGTACAATTTGTAGAAAGTTTTTTTTTTGGTTGTCATGTATTGGCCGCTAGCCAACGGTAAAAATTTCATTTTAACAACGAAGATAAACTTCTGAAAAGTCACGTATACTTCTACAAACGACAGGAAAAACATGGCTTTATAAAAAATTCAACATCTTCAGCTAGAGAAATATCCAATACTTTAAGTGTCCGTATCTCTGTAAATAATAGAAATATCGAAAAATAAGCAATGTATTTCAATCATTTAAATTCTAGAAAATTTTATTTTGTACTTTATGTTTAAGGTCCTGTAGCTACCGCTTATGAAGTAATTTTTCGGACGAAAAAAAATATTTTAAGTAGTCTCTGATATAATAACGAACGCAGCATAGCCATGAATTCACCCAAAATTTGAAGTTTTTGGATACAGTAACTCCCAAAACTTTAAACGCTTGATAGTCCTTCATATTACTACAAACGAAAGCTAAACCATGGCTTTACTGAAAATTCAAAATTTTCTGACACTGAAATCGTCAAAACATTAAACGTTAGTTACTTCTGAAAAAAATGCAGACATAATTAAATGAGCAGCAATTTTTAATTCTAAAAAGTCATAGAAAACTTTTTCTTTATTTGGTGTACACGAGACGTCACTACAAAAATAATTTTGTTAACTAAATATATTTCCGAAAAATTCTTTTGTATTACTACAATTGATTACAAAGCCATGCAAGTACTTAAAAATTTAAAATTTTTGGCTAAAGAAACAGCGCAAATTTTAAGTATCTTCGTAATAATGGGGATATTGAAAATGAGCAATAAATTTAAATCGTTCAAATTCTTAGCAATTTTTTTTTTTTTAACGGTTACCAGCCGTAAATAATAGAGATATCAGAAAATAAGCGATGGGTTTTAATTGTCAATAACAATAATTTTGTCTTAATGTATTGTAATACATTTTTTATATAACTATAATTTACTTTTAGTATAACAAATAAGTGATAAATTAGAGGAAAGTAAGATTGCTACTGACGGCTAAATATTAATTATTGTACAATACGGGGTTTAACGCAACACGATCAAGACCAAACAGTTTCTAGCATGATTTTATATCGGTGCATCATCCGAAACATCAGGATATGCCCTGCTTCTAGGTGCAGCAGAAAATTGGCAGTAAGCTAACGTTTCAGTGGCCAAGTAACGGCAAACTATTCCATTGAAATTGTGTCCTTAAGTGCTCAGGACAACGAGATAATACCACTGGTAGTATCAACTGGATAGCAAAGTGACACACAACTGATCTCCCGTCTTATGGGTGCAGCGGTGAAATTGGTGGTTAACTATCGATTTAGTGGAAAATTAGCGGCAAATTAGCCCGTTGGAGTTGTATCCCTAAGTTGTTAGGATATTGAGATAACAGCAATGGTGGTGCTAGATTGATGTCAAACTGGCACATCTTCAATCTTTTAGCTTTCTGATAGTGCGGCAAATTTAGTTTCAAGGTCACAAGTTAGTAGTTAATTAGCGGCAAATTATAGATTAAGTATCATTGCGGTACGCTGACTTGGTTGTGCTAGCTTTATGTAGGTGGAGAGAAAATAAATACGATTTAATCTTATTTTTATTCAGAAGTCTGGATTCATTTGTTTATTTAACATTGTATGAACCAATGATCGTTTTTTGCTTATTTTTTGCCTACATCTCCGTTTTTATTACTAGTATGAAAATTTTTCTACCGCCAATCTTTCTGTCTTCTGATTTTCCACAAAAAAAACTCTTTTTCAGATTTATTATTCATAATTCACAACATAGTAAAATTTGTGTATTGTGATAAAAAATTTTTAATAAATAAATAAAGGCGACTTCTAATTTGGATAAAACTATTTTACTCGTATTTCATGGGAAATTCTGTAGACAAATGGTTGATTCTTTTTCTACTGGTAAAAGGAAGATTAACAAATCCCTTGGGCCATGGGCAATAATTGCAGTTTCGTAGCCATTTTAGAATGAGTAAAAATTTTCTTGTGTTTTTGAATACCTGTGAAAAGCATCGATTAATACTTATTGAATTCTTAGTTTTTATTTCATTATTTTGTTTGAGATACAACCCACACTGGAATGGTGGATGAAAAAATATTTAAGATTACAGGTGCATTGATAAAAAATATTAATTTTTCTATTAATTCGAAGAAAATTTGATAAAAAATACATATACCACAGTCTCCAGAAGCATAGCTGAATCCATGTTGTATATCATGGGATGTTTTGGCCACTTCTAGTGAAGTCACTTTAGACTGTTGATCTGAGTCTACTTTTTGAAGAAAAAAAAAATGAAAATGACTTGGGTAGTTGCTTTTGCTCTCACAGCTGTTATATGACCCTCTATGTTAGCATCCTTAATTAAAGCATTCGTACTATCGTATTTCACCAGAGGTAAACCAGATTGCTCACTTCTACTCTGCTCATGACGCTTGTGACTTCTAGTAAGACAGCTGATACCAAATACAGTTTGCTGGTTAATTTCGCGAGGTTGACAACGAGGCCAATATTGGTGGTAAAAATGAATATGGTTTGTTCAAGGGGCTCTTAATACAAAGATTTTTTGGTGTTCCAAGGAAAAGTTTGCAATATAATGTACACCAATCAATTTCCATTGGGGGACCCTCTGAAATCCGGTTTTTTCATAGGCCGAACGAGCCAAATCCTGCTACCGATAGCTGGCTTAGCCGGACAAAAATCAATCAGGTAGCAGCACTAAAAATGAATGTTTTGTGACACTATAATTTTGTTGTTTTTATATATAAAGAGTCATTAAATATGCATGTTTAATTAAAGTAATGGTGTCCGATCAGTATTTATCTCATGAATTTCTTATTGTTGTAAATTAGTATCAGCAATTTATAACAATGCTCAACGTTCAATTCAACTCAAAAGATTATATGTATTTAGGATCTCAGAGCACGCTTCCTAGGTATCGTTTTCAGTGAATAAAAACATCTGAATATTCGTTTGGATTTCTTAAAGGCACACAATACTTAACATCGTGAAATGCATTATTGAGACAATTTTACTGGGGCGTAGACATACTACCTGACAATATGGCATCTTTTTTTTGTTTGAACTCTATGCAACTGTGTAATTTACGAACATTTTCTAGGGAGTTGTGAAAAAGTTTATAAATATTGTGCTTTCAGTTATTTTTATTCGCTTGGTCAGGGCCGTCGGTTAGCAGCAAATTTTAATAGTTGGATAGTAGAAGTTAGTATACGGTATAGCATAAACATTAAAGAAAAGCTTGTTTCATTTTCAAGTTTCACACAAATATGGGACAGGAAGAGCCAAAAGAAGTCAGTTATGCTCGTTTTTCTCTCTCGCTCTCGCAGGATCAAATCAAAGTTTGCCGTTCTAGCCGATTCCATAATGTATCAACTTTATAGAGATTTTTTTTTTTAATTACTCTTGTTTTTACTCATTAAATACTTAGTTTTATTGTCACAAAAAGTTTCATGTTTCACAAAACCTCACCTTTGAGTAAAACTTAAAAATAAAACAACGGTCTTAACAAGGTTACGTCATACCATTCTCACAAAGAGAGTAACTCGTTCGCGAGATTCTTATATCCATTCGAATTAACAATATCAATTTGTTTTTTTTTTGTTCATCGTTTACTATTTCGTAAAGAACTTTCGTGAAACGAGCACCTGTCGACCCCGACAGGACTGTCTTCCCGCTTACTATGTGATGTTTTTAAAATTTTTTCTTATGGATTAGTGAGTACGGAAATTTTTTTTAAACTTATTTTCTTTTGCCCAGAAAAAAAGTGTTTCGATAAGTGTCCCATGGCCTGACTAAAGTTTTGTTACGCTAATGAATCAATGTGTTTTTGATCATTGTAAGATTTCATTTAAATTTTTAATCCTAGAAAAATCTATAAGCAATAGTTTTAATATGTAAAAATTTTGCCTAGCAAAGTAATTTTACTTATGTTTTAGTATAAAGATTGATTATTATGTACAAAATTTAATCAAATAAAATACCGATCGAATTTTGTGCAAATTTTATGAATTAATTTATACTTTGTGCATAAGAATCTGAAAAACTTGACCAGGTACTACTTTTATCAATTATTTTAATTTTTTGTATTATGTTTTAAAACTTACAATAATTGATTACAATTAATAACGAAAGATAGTCTTTTGTTGTATAATTGGATTTACGTAGTTCGATTTCAATGAAGGAAATTTAAGTTATAAGGTACTAATTGATTAAATACACGTACATTGTGTAACCTTAGTTATGTGTAAAAGAATCCATTATCCTAATGTTGATAGATTAGAAAAAAACATCGATACAACGTAGATTGTTTTAGTATAGTATTTTTCTTAAAAAACATTGTTGACAATAGTAATAAATTAGCTTAAAGTTTTGAAAAACTACGCTAGCTTTTTACTGTAGTTTAGTAGGATACGCTAGGTGACATAAAAATAACATCGAAGCTACCTTCAATAGAATTAAGTAAGTCTGTCTGTAATACACCAGAACAAAGTAACGAACATTACAGTCGTTCACCGGCAACAGCGCATGTACATGTATACTTATATCTATCGTCAGGCCATGAGCCTTGAGATTGTCATGAGAGAGTCCAAATCCTTTGGCTCGTTCAGCCCTACGCTTCGAGCTCTTAGAGCTACACGCTGCATCAAGCTGTACGAAAGCAAACATTGGACTGAGAGTCTCATGGTACGTGCTCACAGTGTTAAAGATTGCTTTCAACTCTAACGTGATGCACCCATTAGTTCAACCAGTCCAATGTTCCTCTCCATGTGGGTAACTCGGCTACCGACGATACTGCTCTCTTGTAGACAAGCGACTTACGTCAAACTCTATCTCAAACCACCATGATTGGTAAGTGCCACTAATACACAGACGGTCTGGACGCTAACGTCTCTGGCGTGATACCAGGTGATGTTTAGCTAGAGCACAATCTGCTATAGCAATTTTTCCAACTGACTTGGTGCTAACAGAGCAGTTTTTGCTACAACATCAAGCCAGGAAAAACAATTCTGAGGAGTTTGGGCAGCTACAACAGCCTCCTCCTCAGGGGTTCATCCCACTAGTATACCCACAGAGACGGTAATCTTCAGGCCAACTTTCCGACTAACGATGAGCGGTTATTTATCGGAGGATTGATCTGAAGACGAAATATTTTGTGACTAGTAGCGTATCTCTCTCTAACACGGTTTCCGTACGCAGAGACTCCGGGGATAAGTGTTAAGCTACCCGAAGCGGATCTCCATCATCAAGAGTAATAATAAGGATTTGCTGAAAGTATCACCACAGACCCTTTTCAGGGCCATCATAAGTATTTACGTTCCCTACTTAACCATCAATCTCATTGGCTCCTTTAAGGGCCACCTCACGTTAAACTACTTTGCCAGCGAACAAATTTTTCCTACCATTTCTGACAACGATTCGTCGACTAAAAGACTATATGAAGCCGACCACTGTGAAACTAAGTCAGTTATTCACTGGCAGACGTCACGAGTGGGTTTCTTCGTCGCAAGGCTAGGAACTTCGGCAATCGATGACCCTACATTACCCTCTCGACTCTAAGCATTCAACCAGAAATCACCGACCCTCTTCGAGGTCTGTGCTGGGCAAACCTAACAGCTATGAAGGAAAAATAAACTTCAGCAAACGGTCCAGTTTTCAATGGGCAAGCATCACGAACTAATCTTTCCACCTTAGATCACCAAATCAACTGAGTCTACAAAAAAGAAGGTGCTTTAGACACCAACATCTGAGTTGAAACACCAGAAGACAATGGAAAAGAGCTTTACAACTAGCTCGAACACTTCACTCGTTGCAGTTTTCCTTCCGATCAGTCTGGTGCTACAATGACAAGCCAGATAAGATAACCCAGAGGTATAGAGGCAGTCACGTTTCCTAGAAACTTCAGTCAAGAAAGAGTTTAATTAAGAGGCTCACTAGTCCTTTTTAGAGCCATTGGACGTCGAACTACCTTGCCAACAATTACATTAAAACTTAACAAAGTTGACAAAAAAACAGCTTTTAGGGATTACAAAAGTCTTAACCATGCCAAGAGGGTGAATTGAAAAAAAAACTTTAAATGCATCTAATGAATACAATTTTAGGCGTCAAGAAACTGATGCCGAACAGTCATTGGAATCGAAGCAGCAGTGTCAAAATTGACGAATGAAGAATTCATTTAGTGAGAGGTCATCTTTTTGTTATAACCCGCACAGTAGTCCCTTGAATCTTCCAGATTTTTAAAGAGGTAGAATACGTTTTTGTATTTTTGTCTCTATAAAAAATGTAGAAGTTAAGCTCCAGGACTTAGTTGCTCTGGTAATAAAGTTGTGAGATAAAAGAAAAAAATAAAATTTTTAATTAAAAACGTTTCATATCACATGTCAATACACTACGGTGTTCTACTTAGTAAGTCTTGGGCGAGGCCAAGGCATAGGGGCTGCTAGTTAATTTACAAGTCTGTTTCAGTTTACTTGCCTGTAGCCAATGCTTAAAAAAAAGTCTTAAAGTTAAAAATAACTATTTTGACAGTTCCTTTTATCTCTACATAGGATAGAAAAGCCATGGATTGCCTGGTAATTAAAATTTACGGTTACAGAAATTTCCAATATTCTAAATGTCTGTATCTCTGTAAATAATGGAAATATCTCAAAAAAAGTGATCAATTGAAATAAGTACAATTTGTAGAAAGTTNAAAAATTTACAGAAATTTGCACCCTATTATTGTAAACGTCAAGAAAGTCAAAGAGATCTAAGTGCGTCTTGCTTTACACATATTTTTCTTATGAAACCGAAACTGATAAAAATTTACATCATTGGAGTCCGCACCTTTCTCTTCTTTTACTGTGAGACCCTCTCTGTCGTTTCCTTGCATTTTTTTTATCCCTGTGTCTCTTTCTCTCTCTCTTTTAGGGGGTAAGTTGTCTCAAAGAAAGATTGTTATTGTTGATCCCCTGGATTCGAGCAAAACTTGTAACTTCCAAATCATTAGGCAGTAGGAGTATTTTTGTAAGGGCATAAAGTCTTGGCTGGATCCAATGCAAATTTAGTAACCACATTTCGATACTTCAATGCTACAAATGTCATAGACTAAGGCAAATTGCCTTGAACTGCAAAAACGACACAACTTGTGGGTACTGCGCTGGTCAGCACCATATGAACGACTATGTAACTAAAACTGCCATGAGCTTCGTT